TGACGTTCCCCAGTATTGTGGACTTCAAGAACACCAATCTGGAAAGAAGAAGTTGCAGGTCCTGACTAGGCATGCGTGCGATCTGTTTGTAGACTTGGTGGTGGGCGTGAGACGAGTTTTGGTCCTCGTTCCCACCGCAATCTATTTTGCAAAATGGATTTTTATGGATCAAGTGAATAATTAATGCAAATCCATCAATTCAATTGGGTTGAAATCGTTATCGATCTAAAGTCATTACCCTTTATACAAATCCATTTAAACTCGCTTTGTATGGACTCCATTTTGCCACGTCTTTCTAAAGTCATTTCCCTTTATACAAATCCATTTAAACTTGCTTTGTATGGACTCCATTTTGCCACATCTATCGTGCAGGATGACCCCTAAATTGTGCACCTTGGCCTCAATAAAAAATGCGGTGGTTATCCATCACAATCTAAAATTAGAAGTTGAAGCACGAAACAAAAAATGTAAAGGGAGAAGCAATTAGAGAACAATTAAGGTATCCAAAAGTGAAAACTGCAGCTTGATTGGATGATGGACAATAAAAAAAAGTTTTGCATAGCAAATGAGTTGACTCTAATTTATGATATTTCACACCTACTTTTATGAGAAGAAAAGACTGCTTTTTTCATAACAACTTTGAAAGGCAAATGCTGCTTTTTTTCCACAAGAACTTTCAAAAGAAAAGGTTGTTTTTTCCAGTAAGAACTTTCAAAATGTTTGAGGTAAAACAAACGAAAGCCAAAAAAATCCAACTTGTCATACGAATCAAACGAACCTGATGTAATAAAGGTAAGAGTAAAATAAAGGAAACAATTTGCTCACAAACCTCAATTGAAGAAAAATCTTTCCTCTTCAATTTTTGTTCCAAGTACATAACAATCATCCCACAAGGTTATCAATTATGGCATAGCTTTTAGTATAATTGTATTTGATTACTATGACCAAAGAAAGAGCTGGACAATAACTATTGTCATTTCATAGTCATACTCATATGACAATTAGAATTGAGCACTCATTCTCATACAACAAAAAGCATGGTCATTCTCATACCAAATACCATACATTATTTTCCTCCCATATTTACATATCTACATCTATATAAATTCTTGAAGGGTTTCTTAGTGACAGCCTTTCTAGAGGTCCAAAATCTCAATTCCTTTTTTGTAGATCTTTTATTTATTTTAATTCCTAAAATGTAATGAGTTGATTGCAAAATCATGATTATAGACTATATTCTCATTCCCACCGTTAAATACCAAATACCATACATTATTTTCCTCCCATACAGAAATACCCTACCATATTTACATATCTACATCTATATAAATTCTTGAAGGGTTTCTTAGTGACAGCCTTTCTAGAAGTCCAAAATCTCAATTCCTTTTTTGTAGATCTTTTATTTATTTTAATTCCTAAAATGTAATGAGTTGATTGCAAAATCATGATTTTAGACTATATTCTCATCATTTCAAAATTTAAATTATTTCAAATCTTAACAACTTGATGATACACAGACTTTAAAATTTGAGAGGAAAAAGGAATTTTCTGATCCACATATATGTTTGGTTATGTATTTACTCTAATTTAAAATTACTATTACTATTGTGAATTCATTTTTCTTTATCTCCAAGATCCATTTTGATTTCTACTCTATATAAATTGCAGAATTTTTATTTAGAAGCCTTGTTAAGCCTCCAAACTCTCAATTCCTCTTTCGTAGATCTTGTATTTATTTTTAATTCCTACAATGCAACGTCAATTCCTTTTTTTTTTATCAATATATTCTTATCATATATGTCTAATTAAAAGAGCTACATAAGATATCTTCTGTAGAATTGAGCACTCATTCTCACACAACAAAAAACATTCTCATGAACGTGAGCACTCATTCTTTTTAGTTATTCCTTTCTATGTAATGGGTAGAAAACATTTTTAATCTTAAACTCACTTTCAATCTGTTTTGTAAAACCTGACTTCTAAAATCAAGATTCTGACAGCCTCCAGTCCATATACGGTGCACCCTAATTATAACAAAAAAAATTCTGATAGCCATCTAGATGAATTGGACTTGGAATTTTCTATTCAACGTTCAACTGTCTGGAGTTAAGTTTCAATTGAATCCCAGATAATAGCCAAAAATTTATTTGTATAGATATAAATATATAGAAGATTCCAATATCACTGCTCAAAAAGTGAACGACCCTAGGATCTTCCATGGTCGTACTCGTACAACGGTGCCCTAAATGATGTATTGACTCAATCATCCCCTCTTGTCCCGATTTATTGGATTTTCTATGGTAAAAGCGCGTGAAAAACTAGTATAAAAAGAGAACACCATCACAGCCAAATGCATGCTCATATACAACATGGCTTTGATCAATCTTGATCTTTCATTTTTCTCAATTTTTTCCTTGCTCGTATTCCTTCTATCCCTTCTCAAATGGTTCTATGCTGCTTCTAAACCCCAGAAAAAGTTACCACCATCTCCACCAAAGCTCCCAATTATTGGCAATCTTCACCAGCTTGGCCAGTTCCCACATCGCTCCCTCCAATCACTGTCAAGAAAATATGGTCCACTCGTGCTACTTGAACTGGGAAGCAAGCCAATGCTGGTTGTCTCTTCCTCTGATGCAGCTAGCCAGATCTTGAAAACCCATGATTTATCCTTTGCAAGCAGGCCTAAATCGAGCATCCCAGATAAACTCTTTTACGGAAGCAAGGACATAGCTTTTGCGCCATATGGCGAGTATTGGAGACAACTAAAAAGCATTTCTATGCTTCATCTTTTGAGTAACAAAAGGATTCAGTCTTTTCAACACGTCAGAGACGAAGAGACGTCACTCATGATCGAGAAGATCAGCCTAATGTGTTCTTCCACAGCTGTAAACTTAAGTGACATGTTTTTAATTCTCACAAATGATATAATCTGTAGGGTTGCCTTGGGGAGGAAGTATAGTGAGGAAGAAAATGGGAGGAAAAGTATGGAGAATTTGAAGGTGTTTGGTGAGTTACTGGGTATTTTTGATGTAGGAAACTATATTCCTTCGCTTGCATGGGTTAATCGCTTCAATGGCTTGGATTCTAAAGTGAAGAAAACGGTTAAACAGATTGATGGATTTCTGGAGGGTGTGATAGAAGGGCACATGAATAAGAGGAAAGGAAAGGCTGAAAGCGACTCTACTACTGAGGAAAGATGCCAAGACTTTGTAGATATCTTGATTGAGATTAATGAGGAAAAGACTATGGGCTTTGCTCTTGAGCGAGATGCCATGAAAGCTATCATCCTGGTAAATTTCTCTCTACATCTCTTTGCATTGGTAATAAATCTTTGGGATCGAAGCAACTATGGTTGATTTTGGTGTGGTTGCATACGGTCATTTTATTCTTATTTTTTAAATTTGGTATATACTTATATCAGTAAATTGGAGTACAACATATAAATCACAACCGAACTTGCATCAAATTCTAAATTTTTTACCTGTTTTAACCACTCAAACATATAAATATTCAGGTTTGTTGAGTTAAGCCTTATGAAGCTTGGATTGATGAGTGAATGGAGTAATAATTGGGTTTTGTCAATCGAGATTTGACAAACCTAAACTCAACCCATTTAAATATTCATATATACGTTAGAACTATAAAAGCTCACAAACCTTAGGCTCTTTATTGGACTGTGAGCCAGCCCAAGCTAGCTTATATTTATTGATTTTAAAATCATTTCATTGATAAAGTTTGATTATTACATGGTTTTGAATGAAGTTGGATTGGTACACAATAGAAATAAAGGTTATTGCCATTGTATAATCCAAACATGTTCTAATGCAACACTTTCTTTGATTCCATTATTTAGGATGTCTTTGGTGCTGGATCTGATACAACACATTCAGTTATGGATTGGGGAATGTCAGAACTTCTAAAGAACCCCAAAGTCTTGCATAAATTGCAGGCTGAGGTAAGAGATGTTACTCAAGGAAAACCAGAAATAACTCGAGCTGATATGGAGAAAATGCAGTACTTAAAAGCAGTGATTAAAGAAACTATGAGACTTCATACTCCAGTTCCATTACTGGGTCCTAAAGAATCGAATCAAGACGTCAAAATAATGGGGTATGATGTTCCAAAGAGCACACAGGTACTTGTGAATGCTTGGGCAATTGCAAGAGATCCATTGTTGTGGGAGAACCCTGAGGAATTTCGACCTGAGAGGTTTTTGGGTTCGAGTGTAGATTTTCATGGTTTGAACTTTGAGTTAATTCCGTTTGGTTCCGGACGAAGAGTTTGCCCTGGTATCAACTTCGCCATGTCAGTAACTGAACTTGCATTGGCAAAACTGGTCAACAATTTTAACTTTACATTACCTGATGGAATCAATCCAAACGAGTTGGACATGACCGAATCATTTGGTATCACAGTCCACAGAAAATTTCCTCTGCATGCCATTGCCACACCATACTCTTGCTAATGTCTTTGTTTATGATGTTTCAGCTTTACTTGTTTTGTTTCATTTCTAGTGAAGCTCTTGCAAGTAAATTATAGACTATAGTGATGGGTTATTGTGTACTATGCCCTAAGGATACCGAAGAAGGGGTGGGTTTGGCGTTATCTTGTTTGCACGATGTAACTATAGCTAATAATGCTAGTTAAGTTATATACAATTCACTCTGATAATGTTGGAATTTCATAGTAGTTTAGTCCCTCTTTTTGGTGTGCTTATCATGTGGGGGGGGGGGGGGGGGGTTTGAATGGCAGCCCAAAAATTTTATTAGACACAAACCAAATAAGAGGGGGACATCAACCTTAGCTCATATAGTACATGATAAAACCTCACCTAGTATATGATAAAATGACCAATTAAGAACATTGACAAGCAATCCTACATCTAAGAAAAGACGGAAAAGCTAACTTGTCCAATCTATACTCTCTCCTCGCCATCATCGGCAAGTCAGCTATTCATTCATACAAACAAACCCCGGTTTCTAAAATAGAATAACCTTTGTTCAACAACAAATCTGCCACCTTATTAGCCTCCCTATAACAATGCTGGAGTGGAGTTGGAAACCACCTCTAGGCAACTCAAAATCCTGCTCCACCTCACTGCGAATAGACCACGGGCACTGATAATAATCGTTCAGTATCCGTACTAATACCATTGAATCTGAGTCAACAATAACCTGCATAAATCCCCTTTGAACACACAATTTCATCCCTAATAATAAAGCCTTAGCTTCTGCCTATATACTACTCCCTCCCTTTTTTTATATCTGACGTTTAAGGTTTTGCACACCAATTAAGAAAAGTTTTTCATTGCTTAAATCTGTATACTACTTTCCTTTTGTACCCTCATTAATTGTCCAAGAAAGAATACGGAGGGGCAGATAATTACTAGGGTTATTACAAAGAGAGAAGCAATAATTACTAGGAGTAGTAATTAAGAACCCTGTTGACAGGTTGTTGAAGCCTGTGCAATAATAAAACCTGCTCAAACTAAAGTTAATTTCTGTAGATAGTGGTAAGCAGGGTCGAATCCACAGGGACTGGGAGTAATTGTTTCTTTTTAAATTCATAGTGACAAGGGGGGTGTTCTTATCTCAGGGGTAACAATTTAAGCAATCCAACTAAAAGTAAAATAATAAAAATAAAATAGCCAACTAGAAATTAAAATAACAATTTACTAAAATCAAAGGATCTAGCCAAGGAATAACTTCAACAATGGTGCACCTAATTGATCATTGAAGCAAAGGCAATTCCAATTATTCATCAATAAATAGGTTATAACTACCAAACAAGCAATGACAGTCAACCCCTCCTTACTGTGTCGGTGATCAAGGTACGCCCGTTAATCACTGCTCTAATTGAGAAATAATCCTAGGTACGCCCATAGAATTTAATTCCCCAATTGCCTTACATATTAGAGGAGCCCTATTCTAACCAAATAACGCACTACCAGGGTTATTTTAGATTAGCCCGCGTATCCCTCTGACACGAATCTAATCGTGCCAGTTGTCACTATTTTGAGGTAATTAAACAATTACGGATTTAATACCTCAATTGACAATAGATTACCCAATCAATTAATTATCCGGATCCAAAACAACCAATTAATTAAATAACCATAAGCATAGCAATCAAAAAATATGCGAATACCAATAAATAAAAAGAAAAGATTAAATTAAATCGATCTCACAATTTTTAGGCGAACCAGAGCCTTCGTTGCTCCTTGACTAAAATTGGAAAATTAGTTCATAATTGATGAACTAAACCCACCAGAAATTGTAGCAAAAGCTGCGGCCATCAATTGGGAAGCTGGGCGAATTCAATTCGTCTATTCAATAAAGAAAGAAAGCTACAAGAGTCCACTGAGTGTGTTTGCTTTTGTCCGACATTCGGAGAAGAGAAATTGAATAGGCAGAATCAAAGACAAAAGCTAAGCTCCTCAGCAATCTTCCATGTGTAAGAAAAAGCTAACTAACAAAAACTAAGAAGAAAAGTCAACAACTGTGGCTAGGCTACAAGACGAAAACCTCTCCAAAAAAATGAGCCGCCATTCCTATTCTCTCTAATTCCTCTCTGTGCGGCGGCCTCCTTCCGGAGAGGAAGAAGAAGACAGCCTCAACCCTTCGTTCCTTTTCTCCTTTTATTCTATCTTCCACAAATTATCAAAAAGGACTTGTGTTCCCTTGTTCCAAAAATACCCTGGATGCCTGCTACTTGAACTCTTTCCTGATAACTGTCAAATCGGCACTTATTATGATATTTTCGTTCTACTCCCTGAAATATATGCAAAATACTAAAAGTGAATAGAATCTAACAATTAATCCACATCGGATCGGGTAATAAGGGGAATTAATAATAAAATAACTGACAAAATTGCAACCTATCACCTGTATTGGAAAAGAGAGATAAAAGGGTAAAATTATGAAAAAATAATTAATACTGTATGGGGATAATAAAACGACAGATAAAAGTACAATAGAGCAAATTTCTTAAACATCAGTTATAAAAAAAGGGAGGGAGTGGTACCCTTACCGAAGAAAGAGGAGAAGGCAAAATGTAAGTGCCCCATCGAATCCCAGAGTATCCCCCTCCACCACACATACTTGGATTTCCTTTCGGGCATCCGTCAATATTGAGTTACAACACCCCCTTCTGCAGGGATTGCCAAAAAAAATTCCTGACATTAAAACTTCGCCAATCGTTGCTCAACTAGTTCCAAAAAACGATGCCAATACATAATATTGTGAAATTCCCTGAACTTAATCCAATACACAAACCTCAAATCACTAAAGATAGCTTGACACACCGAATGAAAATCCACAAAAACTCCTTGGTAGAAAGCTATATTCCTTGCCTTCCATAAATTCCAACAGACAAAAATAGGCAAAAGACGAAAGATAAACTTTAATCTTTTGGACTTAGCTGGTTTATACAACCAATTAGCCAAGACCACAAGCAAATGATCTCCAGCATAACGAATTCCACAAGACGATCCAAAAAACTTCAAAACGGCCATCGCCAGCTCCCCTTCCAAAATCAAATGTTTTACCGTTTCAGCTTGAGAGTCCATGCAGCAAAAACATTTGGACGGCATATGAAACTGAAACTTAGTCAGCACATCATCCAAAGGTAACCTACCCCTGAACAATCGCAACATAAAAAATGAAATTTTCAATGGCACCTGCGTATGCCAACATTGTTTAGACATGAATGAAGAATCCCTAGCACCCCATATCTCCTGGAAAGTAGAGAATAAAGAGAACCTACCCGATGTAGATACAACCCAAGTCATGGCATCTGGAACATCCCTAGAAGGAACGGCCATATCCACAAATTCTTGAACAACCTCCACTGGCAGCAGTTGACCCAACAAGATTATATTCCACTCACCATTGTCAATAACATCTTTGAAAGACAGATTTCCTTGCACCTTTAGGAAATCATATATTTACCGTTCTTATATAGTGATATAAATTTACCATTCTTATAGTAATGCATTGATCCAAGTTATCATTGGCGTCAGCCTAGTAGTGATTAGGGGAATGCTCTTGAATTCCCTTCACTATCAGATTCAAGATTTAAATTTTGTGCGTAACAATTGAGATTGAAAGGGCATGGGAAGGAGTAGGAATTTAAAAAAATGTTGATCCAAGTTAACTTTATGACTTATTCAACATTGGTACTGAGAAAATTAACCGAGCAAGGTTGATCTTTAGAACATTTAATTGAAAAAAATGCATATTTCACATCAGAGTTACTCCTGTTGTATTTTCTTTAGAGACAAATGACATACAAACACCATGATCATTCCACTGTATTCTTAAGCATCCCAAAGCATTTAGAGCATTGCTAATATCTTTCCCAAGGTAGCTAGGAGCTACGGAACTCTTTGTATGTGAAAGCTCTATAAAGTATAAACAGGAGGATTTCTTTAGTTAGTCAATGCCGTTGCAGGCAGGGGCGGAGTCAGAAAAAAATCTTAGTGGGGGCAAAACTAACACTAAAATTTTTTATCCATTTTTTGTCTAATTTTTAAACAAAAAAAATAAATTCACCAACAAGTACAAATGATATGTATATTACATGAAAAACATAAAAAGACAAATTCAAAATTATTAATGTAATAATAATTTTATTTCAAAAACAATCTAAATTATTTACAATTATTCACGACGAGTTTTCATATTTTGATAACAGTTTACAACTTTCTCATTTTCAACTTCCCCAAGTAACTTCTTTTATTGTCATTTTTTGCACTTTCATTATCCTTGGCTTCTTTTTTATTAGATGACTCTTTTTCCATTGATTTCCTCTTGAAATATCTCTCCGTAGCTAAAGAAATTAAAATCAATAAATAAGATACTAATCCAATTAAAATATTAAATGTACAATAAAATCTATCCAAGAACTATTTTACAAGTTAAAGTTATTTATTAAATGACTTATTTATTCATTACTATATCAAATCATTAATCACAACATATGAACCTAATCAAGTTAATTAGACAAAAGGATCCATACAAGAATAATTTAAAAGTTAAAATATATGTCAAATGGCCCTCTATTCATCATTACATTAACTCCATATAAGAAACTAATCAAGGAATATAAAAAATAAATTATAAATCCATAAAATCACCATTTCACAAGTTAAAATATTTATCAAATAACCCATTTACTAGTTATTACATTAACTAATCAATTTTCAAATTTCTTTAAAACAGTAATAGTCTCATGCTCTAGAAATATATTTGCAAACAAATTTAAAATAATAATAATAATAAGTAATTGTTTAGAACCTAATTTTGATGGTCTTCCAAAATTGGTGAAAAGAGTTGCAAATCAGTGGCGGACCTAGGTCTCAGAATATTAATTGATTCTGGTGCAATTTCTAAATTGGATAAAGTGATCAAGAGAAAGAGTTACAAGCTTCGGTTGTGGAAGAAAAAGTGGCTCTCGTATGTTGGGGAGTGGGGACAACCAAGAGCCAGAGGAGGAAAGGGAAATTGGGGAGTGGGGACAAATGAAATAAATGATTAATGATAATTGGATGAAGTGATAAAAAGAAAGAGTAGTTAGTTGAGTGTGGAAGAAGAGGAGCCGGGGGTTGTGAAGTGAAATGGGGGACCACAGGAGTAAAGGGAACTTGGGGAGTGTGAACCAAAAGTAATAATTGATATAATTGGTATTTGACCCTGTTGGGGGAAAATGGGGACCAGAGGAGGAAAGTGAATGATATAAATTTTGTGACCCATTCTTTCACAATTTTTCTAAAAAAAATTCTGGGAGCACTTTTAAAATTATGTCAAAATTATAGAAGTATTATAGGAATTTAAGGGCCCCAGTGCCCCTCCTTTAAATCCGCCCCTGGTTGCAGGTTCTATTGCGACATCATTAGATGGAGCCGAGAACGTTGCGATGGTTGTTCAAGCTTTTGTGTTTGTTACCACTCGATGTTTAGGACTTGTGAACAAATCATTACTGATTACCCGTACCATTTACAAAAGAGATGGATACCTAGCAGGGGGTATACATGATTATTGGCAAGAATTATAGTTCAATGAGCTTCAGAATAATACGTACATTCAATAGGAGACCACAAATGATGATTAATGCATTAGGCTAAGGTTCAACACCAACCCACTGTTTTCTTTCTTGAAGAACTGAAGTCCAGGTATTGTGCCTTGATGAAGCATAATTATGAGATCAAGATCATAGTGTTCTGGCATTCCCAGTCTAAGAACAGCTGAACTTTGGTTAGCTCATCTTCAAAGTAGCCTATGAGTCCCAATCCTTCACAAATCAGATCCGAAATCCTCAAGAGAAACTTTTGTGCTTCAACACAATATGTACTTATGACATCCCTGAAAAAAGGTTGTATGAATTGTGGTGCTAATCATTGTAACGGAATTCCTGGCTTCATTCTTATTTAAATAAGTTGGGTCATACGTAGAGGGTTTACCGACATCTGGTAGGCTTTTCAGGCAATGATTGAATATGATCCTCCACAGGATGGCAGCTGTGTGTGACATTATCACTCTAGTAGTGAAAATCTTGTTTGTGATAATTTAGAGTGCTTGAGAAGATTCTGCAGATTTGGCTGATGTCGTTGTCGTTGGAGTAAAAGCCTGGCAGCCTAAAGAACTCCTGGATAACATTCATTGTCTCCTCCATTAAGCCTTCAGAAACTCCATGATTAATGACCTGAACTAACAGCATTTACTTATGAGTAGCAAGATTGATAATGCGTCCCAAATGATGGTCTTAGACAATCACCATCAAGGATTATGTTTAGTTTTTCAGTTCAAACATAACCAGTGCTATGAACCTGAAAGAATCCAAATTCTTGGCTTGCTTTCATAATCTGCCCAATGATTTCAGCTTGTTCAAGCCTGCAGCTTCCTCAAGGTCAATGGTTGGAATGTTTTGTAAGGCTTGCCTCCTTTGGCAATTACGACCTACATGATTGATTCTAACCTAACCTATAAAAAGCCTGTAGTATTTCATCAATTGTACATTTTTTCGTTAGGTATGGATTAGAAGATCCTTACTCTAAATTCTTCTTCTACTTTTCTCTTCTTCTACACATCTACATAGTTTTTTTGTCCACATAGACAAGAATGAGGCAAGAAGATAAGGGAGTTGTAAGGATTAATCTCTGTTCAACAACAATGACTAGAGATAAATCATTTAAATTTCTACTGCTTAGTACAATTTGTTTGTAATTATTTGGTTTACATGTGGTATCAAAGCCAGCCTCTAACCATGTTATTTAACATATAACTTCATGGTTTGTTGGCAATGAGAAGAGCTACATAGATTCATTTATTATTAATGAATCAAATCCAATTTGTCATGGGATCTATGTACCCATTATCTCAATGATTGAGAATTAATGGTTAATCCCATGTATATGTATCATCCTTGTGATGATTTATTTGGTCATTCAAGTATGTATCATACATATATCGTTAGTATGACATTTGATCTTCATTTGGTTATGCTTGTATATGACAACATAGTTAATTATGTCTTGCATGAATAATGGTTAGTATACTTATGCCTTTTGACTTTGCATCATGTATGCTAAAATATCATATAGGTTAAACTTTGCTTTTGGGGCACTTTATGAGTTCTACTTAAATGACTCCATGCCTCTTGAAATTGTGATTAATAATTGGCATCAGCGGTTTGTTTGTTTGCTGCACTTTTGCATAATTATTTAAAAGTATAATTTGTGACATCTATCAACCTTTCATTTTTGTCACCTATTTTGATGCTATCATAAAGATTTTTGCATCTTGTATTTAAGAGTGGCCATAGCATCTTATATGCTTGATACTTAGAATTTTAATCACATAAATGTCTAGTAATTAAATGAATAACATCTAATTAAGTAAGCAATTAATTTGTTAAAATTACCACTTGGGCAGTAGGAAAATGGTAGTTTTAATAAGATTAATTGAAATAAGATAGTAAATTTAACATTGTGTTAAGAGATTTTTCTAAAACCATATGTATGAAAATTTTCTATTTTTATAGTTTAAATTTACTAGTCTTGTTAGAAAGAAAGTAAATTCAATGCATGTTTGGCACCCTCTACCCACAGGAAGCTAAGGTTTGAATTTATTATTTGAATTAACATTGGTTAATTCAATCCTTATGTCTTAAATTTCATAGCAATAATGTATGTTTATTCTTGGATATTTCAATTTTTTCTACCATTACTCTTTTTAATAATTCATCTCATATTTCAATGCTATCCGGTGAAAACTACATCGAATGGAAGGACAAGATTCTTCTAACATTAGGGTGCATGGATCTTAATTTGGTGCTTTGTGAGAATGAACAACCCATTCCCACATATTCTAGTTTGTCAAATGAAAAAGGCTACTTATGAGTAGTGAGAGCGATCTAATCGCCTAAGCTTGATGCTCATCAAGTCACACATCAGTCAAACTAATAGGGGTTCAATCCCTGATTGTGACCGAGTCAAAGTTTACATGAAAGCAATTGATGAACAATTTGTAAACTCTGACAAGGATTTGGATAGCACCATTATGAAGAAATTTGCAAGCATGACACTTGACAAAAGTAGGAGTGTGTGCGAGCACATTATAAAAATGAGAGATATTGCAACCAAACTAAAGTCCCTTAAAGTTGAGATTTTTGAGTCATTTCTTGTACATTTCATTCTCAACTCTATTCCATCGGAATATACTACATTTAAGATCTCTTATAATACACATAAAGAAGAATGGTCAATTAATGAACTCATGACCATGTGTGTTCAGGAGGAGGAGAGATTGAAATATGAGACACCAA